CCATAAGGAGGAGTGATCACTGCACGTATAAGACCAGCTAACAAAACCCATCAATCACAGTGACAAATCATCTCTCCCCCTTATCACAGCAATACCTCCACAACAAAAAATTCGCTGATGACCATAATCACCCAATCTCCTGAAAAGGACAAAAAGCTGATCCCACAGCTACATATACTCAACTATCCCACAAGCTGCACCAGAGCAAAGAGAGATTTCTGACTCCTGTCCTCTGAAGATGCTGGCCACAGAGAGTGGCGAAACGTTAAGAAGAAAAACCTTAAGAACATGGGCAAAAAAGCCCAAAAAACCTACAACCACCACCAATGAAGTAAGTTCTGGTTGATTTAATATGTTCCTGCAATGGATAAGTGAATCTGTGGATACTGATCCTGCAGATAGGGAGGGTTTTGCTGGAATGAAAAGGATATGAAAAAGGAAAAAGATTGAGAAGTGTCAGGAGACGTCTGTAGAGACCAAGATCGAGATCATCCACACTCTTGTCTTTCCGATCCCCTTGTAAGGGTGTGAAAGCTGGACAGTGAAGAAAGTGGACACGAATCTCAATGGAAATTGTTTGAAATGTGGTGCTGGAGGAGAGCTTAGCGGATGCCCTGGACAGTCAGAAAGATGGAACAAGGGGGTCCTAGATCAAATCCAGCCTGAACTATCTCTCTGGAAGCAAGAATGATGCAAGGGGTGGCTGTCTTATTCTGGCCACCTCATGAGAAGGCAGGATTCTCTGGAAAAGACCATCCTGCTGGCAAAAGTTGGAAGCCTCTCGAAAAGAGGAAGATCCCAGACGAGATGGACCGACTCCCTCAAGGAAACCATGGGCTTGAGTTTGCATGAGCTCAGCAGGGCTGCTGAGGAAAGGACATTTTTGAGGTGGCTCATTCACGGGATCACCACAAGCCGGAAGCAATTTGAGGGCACAGAACCACAACAGTTCATTCAGCAGAGTCGATTGCTTGCAAATTGGCACCTTCTTCCGTCCACTTTGTTGTGATTTTCCAGGCCTGGCAAATACCTCAGGCTTGCAGCCCCTCCATGTTTTGTTTGCTGACTGAGAGCTGCGCTTATTTTCCTGTGGCTTTTTTTGTTTGTTTGTTTGAATTGTTCCATTGTCACTTTTCATAACTTTTGTAAGTTGCATTTGGGGACAATGAAGTGGAAATGAATCAGTGAAATAATGAGATGTTCCTCATGAGCCTGCCTTCATTTTACTGAGAAGGAGGCGAGTCTCTTCCACAGAGCTCAGAAATGCTCTTTTTCATCATCCTTCCTTTATTTTTTTGCTTCTCCTCCAGTTAGAGCTCCCAGAATCCCCCAACCAGCAAAGGATTCTGGGAACCGTAGTAAAAAAAAAAGGGTACGTAAAGTTCCCAGGCTCCGCTCTTTCACAAAACTGGGCGAACTCGGCCACGGAAGCGTCGCCACAGCTTGGCTCCCGCCAAAACTTCAAAGAGAGGCGTTTTTAACAGGAGGAGTAGGGATTGGAGCTCCCTGGGCCGAAGGGCGGGGCGAAGAACGCACGGGGCCCAATCCAAGCTGAGGGCTTAAGCAGCCGCCCGTTCTGCCTTTCTTTCCACCACCCCCGTCTCCTCGGAAACAAATCCCGCCCTCTCATCTTTTTTTTTCTCCCGGCCGGTCAAGGGAAGGCGTGCGTTTCCAGTGCGCAGGCGCCGTTTCTTAGTCCGCGGTGCGCAGGCGCCCTTGGCGAAGGGTCCGCGAGGAAGGCTCGAGCGAGCCAGGTGGAGGTAAGGGGGGGGCCGTTGGAGAAATAAAGGCGGTTATCTCCGGGTTACCGGGGGGCGAGTACGCATGCGCATTGTCTCCCCTCCTGGGGGGAACAGCCCCCTTCCTGTCCCGCTATAACTGGGAGCAAAGAGCGTTAAAACCAAGGTTGGGGATCCTGCGTCCTCCAGGTGGACTCCAGTTCCCATCAGCCCCAGCAAAGGCTTGGAGGGGGTGAGTGATGGGAGTTGTAGTCCAGGAGGATATGGTAAGTCTTTTCTCCCCCATCCCTTTCCTGTTTATTTTTTAAGGAGCAAAAAACAACAAAAAAACCAAGAAACAAAGGGGAAGAGGTTTTGGAAAAGTCACTTCTTTTCTTTCCTTACCCCCCCTCCCTCAAGAACTCCTGGGTAGATCAGTGGTTAGGGTCCCTTCCAGCTCAGCAGCTCTAGGATGATGATGATGATCAGCAACAGCCCTCCTGGGTTCCAGGCAAGGGTGACTCTTTTTTTGCCTATAAAAGGCATGTTTTTAGGGCCCTTTGCCCCTAAAACGGAAGCTCACCCCCCCTCCGTCCTTCGGCTCCTACTTCAGACTTTCTCCTGGCATTCGGGGAGGGGTTGCGGAGGGCTGAGCTGGGCTGGCGTAGGTTCAACCGTGCTAGGTCATCCAGGGATCGGGTCTAAGGAGAGCCGGAGAAGGGTTTGGGGGCAAAACGCCCGCCGGCTCCCCTTCGGGACTGGTCACAGAGTCTGTTGGAGGAAGAGCCCCGATTTGCTTCGCCGGGACAATTTGATTCCGATGCCTGCTTGGAGCAGGGGGTTGGACTGGATGGCCTCTCAGGCCCCTCCGAACATCCCTTTTCTCTGCTTTCTGTGATTTCTTCTGCTGTTTGGCAGCTTGGACGTCTTTGCAGGGCATCCTGGGTGGTGGCTCCTCTGAACTGCTGCTGAGCTGCTCCAGGCCGGGGAGGACGGCTGAGAAGGTCTGGCGGCTGATGGCCAACAGGGAAGAAGAATTGCTCTCTGCTTTGCAGCGGGCTCTTGCGATCACGTTGGCCGCCCCGAGCATGGGGCAGTCGACCCACTTCGGTGCCGTCTTCTCTCTTCACCTCTGTGTTTGGTCCAGAGAGGGTCACCGTGCGCAAAAGACCTGAAGAAGAGGAAGAGGACGAAGTAGGGGATGGGCAAAATCGCCACGCTCCCGTTTCCTTGCATTTGCCTCTCACACAATCCCGAAAAGTCTTGAACCCACGTTACAAAGTGAGCTCAATGGAAGCCTGTCTAGGCCCTGAGATTGTTCTGGGGAGATTCAGCCGCTGATGCACGCAGTGAGCTTGAAGGGGATCCAACACCTGGTCTTTGAGGTGGTGGCTCCCCATTTACGTCCCTAAATAAGTATCTCTGCCCACCGTTTTTGTTTTACGTAGGACAGTACCGTCCTCTTTTGATAATTTTTTTGCAGGGTGCAGGTGGTGTCCAATAAATTATTGCTCTGTTTAATTTTGGGTGGTTCACTAGGATGTTATGAATTTTGCCAGCAATTGCTCCTTGAGTTGTTAGGTTTTATGGGTAATTTTTAAATGATATATAGCTTTGAAAATTGGATTTCTTATGGCATTATTGTTTGGGGAAAATGTCATTTTAAGATAGGTTTTCTTTTTAAGTTCTGAAAAGCGTACTAGAAGTGTATTAAATACTACTAAACAGTGTCTCTGGTGTGCAGTTGAGCGGACAATATCACATTTGACCTGGAAAAGGAAAGAAGGCGATGAGAAAGAGAAAGACAAGGCGCATGTCATCTGGCATTGAACGAGTCTCTGTAAAGCTTCCTGGCTTTCTCCTTTTCTCTTCCAGGCCATGCAGGGGGAACGGAGTCCGGCCGAGACCCTCATTGACAGAACCATCCAGATGAAGAAGGAAACAGAAGCTAGGAACATCGTCTTGGCCTGGGGATTTCTTAACCTGTCATTTGCTGGCATGATTTATGCTGAAATGTAAGATGGACAAACCTCTCAACTAGACAAGGTCTTTTGTGGCTCAGAGGGCATGGGCCGGTTCAGGGCGCCAACCTTTCCTTCACTCCTTGCCTCCTGAGTCTTCCTCTTGTTCCCCCCCCCTCTCAAAACCTCAGCTCCTTGTCTATTGTAGAGGAGACAACGAGAGAGGACTACCTTAGAGGGCTGTTGTGAATCTGGCAGGAAAGCGTCCTGTTCATGAAGTGCTTCTTCACTTTATAAAATGGTGCATAAATGTTGCGGCATTACTGAATAAAAAGGATGAACAACTGCAAATCCTATTGTACCTAAGAAATAACAAACATCGTGAGCTTCGAAAAACAGTAGTCCCCTTAATCCTATGCCTAAAAGCATTTATGCAGAAGTGTGTGTGTGTGTGTGTGCGCGCTGAAATTTATATATAGGATTTATTCTGTATACAGTATATTCTATATATCTATAAATCTACAGTATATCTATCTATAGGATACCTGAAATATTGTTTCCTTATGTGTGTGGTCCTATATATATATAAATAACCACACATATAAGGAAACAGACAATCTTTCAGGTACATATTCCCAGGCTATAAAGTTCTTCTAAAGGTCAAAATGAGCCTTTTGAATGGGGCCCAGAGGCAGACTGGTGCTAGTGGAGTAGGTGAAATACCATTTAGTTATATATTAGTTACATTGCTATCCTGCCTATCTAGTTACAAGATGCTACTCTGGCCAGCTAACCCCATGGAAAACAACTACCCACCCACCAACCACAAACACACAAACTATAAAAACTATTGCTGGTCTGCTGTGACCCTAATGTCCAGTTCTGGTTAGCAACCAAGCATTTTGGATCCGAACTGCCATTTCCAAATCGGTTTTCTTCCTGCCAACCCCCCCCCCTCCAAAAGCATTGGTCCGTAGAATGCAGTCCAGGCGAGCTGTGCTTTTATTAGGATCCGTTATACATTCATAAAAATCTACACATTTATAAAACATGAAAATGTTTGAGCTGTGTAGAACTCTTAGTTAACCAAAAAAATCTTAGTTAAAAAAAACTAGGCAGGAAGGGAAAGGTTAATTCTTGTATGTCAATGATCAGATGCTGTCCTTATGTCATTGGACTACAATGCCCATCATGACTAACTGCTGCCCATGCTGGCTGGAGCAGATGGGTGCTGGGGTTTCAACAGATAGTTATCGGGCTGCAGGGATGGAGTTTGGGAGTTGAGTCCCCCGTTGTGCATCTGAGAGGAGCCAGCCTATGTGGCCTTGGGCAAGCTGCACAGTCCCAGGGTGAAGGAAACCACTTTTTGAGTATTTTTCTACCTAGATAACCCTGAGAAAGTTTATTTATTAATTTAAAATCCTTTTGCT